CCTCAACGTAGACTTGGTACTGCCTAGTTTAGTTAACTAGGCAGTGTAAACAAAGCTTAATTAGTTGTCTGCTCCGAGTGCCTTAGTGACCTATTTTTCTTCAGACTGCCTAACTATCTCACATCTGACGGAGATAACACATGGAATCTCTTTGATAAAGTAATATTTCTATTCGATATTGAAGATAAAAATGTTACTTGATACAAATATTTCTCAATTGTACTTGTATTTTGAAATTGATTGACACATGGTTGCGTAAAGATCGATTTTATTGTCGATATAGCTACCGAAAAATGTATTTGAGTTCAGTGAGTGTTCAATAGATAGATTTAAAAAACCTACCTATATTTTCTAGCTGAATCTATATCAGGGTGTGTGTGCGCAGGGTGGCTGGCAGTGGTTGGAGGAAAAGAGCTGAACATCGAGCTCAGTGGCGTTCAATTAGGGAGGCCTATTTCCAATAGTGGACAACGTCAGGCTGATAATGATGATGATACAATGAAACAATGAATTTATTTTTGCAAATAGGCCATAAAAACGGCACTTTTACACGTCAATTTATATGTGAAAAACTAGATGAAGCCGGCATTTCCTATCTGACTACTCTGAGAAGAAATGCCGAAACGAACTCGGAGGTCAATCTCTTTTCAAGTTAATACAATGTAAAAATAAGATAATGTGAGAGAACCGTGCAAGTTCATTCTTTTGAGGAAAGTACCACACCAGTTTAAGTGGACCCGTTCTGAAGACAGGCACGCAAGTGTCAGTTTGCAACCAGTGTAGCTAGTGCTGCTGAGTTGTCCGACGAACGGATAATGAAACCTATACATCTATTATAGCTAATTGCTTCTCATAAAAACTATATCATATTTTCGATTTTGGGCATCAAACTAGATACTAAACCTTTGGTACTAAACCTCCACTGAAATACTCAAATCTCAACCAAAACTAAACCTACTTTAGGTTCCCTGTTCCCTGTGTACCTACATCTAATTAACTAACAGCACAGTTAACGCGTTAGCTGGGCAATCGGCTACCGTGCAATGTGTCACGGGTTCGATTCCAGCACGGAAATTGTGATCTGTATGAAATAAAATCGAAAATATATATCTTTGTAGACGAACCTACGACGCAGAAGAAAAATCTAGGGAATCTAGGGGAAAAATACTAAAAACTTTGACATAGTGAAAAATCTCAGTCCGTCAAATAAGTTTGTATGCAAATATCTCAACTGGCATGTGTTCACAGGAAACCGCTTATCAGTCCGTTATCAGTTAATACAATTATGTTCAATTTTAACACACGTTACAGGCTGTTATATGTATAGAGAGATTCAACAGCTGTCTGTATGTGCGTAGTTACAATTTGTTAGTTCTCCAACCGATGTGCTGTACCTTGATACACCGTGTTTATTCATACGAGAAATCTCATCAATATCAGGCTAGTAGTTTTCGAGTGACTGAGCTATAAAATACATATGCTCTTTCAAGCAATAAAATAAGTAAGGCATGTTTAAAATTTATTCATTACTGTACTGTACGGTGTTGGACAGTATACTTCGCACGGGTCCAATATCTCAATTATGACGAAAGGGTCTCCATTTCCCGATTTTCTTATTTACTTTTGTATTATTTTCTTTCATAAGAAACTTCAACTTATAATTAAAAACAAAACAAAAAAGAAATGCCAAACGGACATGACCAACTTTTGTATGGGCGTTTGCATAGTTATTGAATTCAATGTACATCAATGATTTTTGGTGTTTACATTCGTGAATATTATTAAATTAAATTGCAATAAATAAAACACATGAAGAACTCGTAATTATCAAAAACACACACACAGGACGAAAATAGTTTCACTAAACCTTTAGTCAGAATACTGGCCATAAGTGCACGAAATAAGATTTTGCTTTTAAAAACAATGGCGTTTTAATATATTTATAAAATAAAACAAAAGAATAGGTATAAATAATAATGATTTATTTATTAAGGAGAACAAATAAAATGATACTACGTAATAATTCACTTTTATATTTTTATTATACAGTGTATTTTATTATGTTTGTGTATAGAATGTACGTTTCTGTAATATAAATTCTGTACAATTGGGTAATAATATGGTAGTACTTTCCATTTGAAGCGGCCAGCTTAAAACAGGTGGTAATGGTGGTGGCTCTGGTGGGCTAACCACTTGAATATAAGGGGCTGCTGCATTGTTACTACTAGACTGATATTGATGTGTTGTCTGAGGCCAATTCCTGCATTTTGTCTGAAACTGATTCCTGCACGTTGTCCGAACCGAATTCCTGCAAGTTTCGTGATAAGTCCTGCACTGTCTGTCTATTTGCCCGCATCCAGCACACATGACATCATAGTTGCTTCTTGAGGTCTGAAAATAAACCCCAGTTAGAATAAACACATGTTTTCAAGTTTTATGTTATTGTACAATGAGAAGTATTATGTTACAACATGCCTACTCTAAAGAAGTCTATTCAAACATGGAAAATACATAAAGATAGATATTATAATCACACATACCTACTATGAGTACTATTTTTTATAGAATAATATAGATAAATACAAGTACATATAAAAACAATGAATAAAAAACAAAATGCTTACCACATTAACAGTATTTTGTGATATTAGGCCAGCTAGCATGGAGAGTTCATACTGATATTATGGTGTCTTATTTTTCGAACCGATTTTCCACAACCAAGGCAAACCATGTTATGCCACAGTAATCTCTCATGTTCACCAGCCTCAGTATTCAATAATAAGAAGCATGGTTGACAAATGAGAGTCCCAGAGGCAACTAAAAAAAAGATGCACTATTTAAAATCGCATACCATTATAAAACATAAAAAAACAGACTAAATATTATACTATTCCGACTTCATACCTGGGTTTGAGCTATGGTTAACCAACGTGAAAGTTTTGTTTGATGGTGTGCAGAAAGCGAGGATATAAGACGCCTCTGCAGCCTTTGTACACCAATTCCGCAGTTGATGCACCTCATCGTAATCCACAAAACAAATCCAAAACGCAAAACAGTTACTCCAGTATTATTAGCAAGGTTCCGTTTCGTTTAAGTTTTTTTTTTGGTGAATTGAATAAAAATTAAAACATAGTATTATTATAATATGAGTATATTTTTAAATGCAACTAAAACCAATGAATACAGTTTCGTATGAATAAAATGTTCCTAGTGTAATGCATTTGTCGATCATATCACACGTTTTCTACGAGTGTGGTTTAAGACACGTGGTTTGGAATTGGAACGTCTTTTTATTTATCTTTCTCTATGGACTATTATGGCGAAACTTGACAAACGATAAGTTGATTTTGTTGCATTACTTTTACATTTTTTTAATAATAATTGTCAGGTCTGGAGAGGCTAAAAACTACGTAATAATTCATATTTTTATTTTACAGTGTATTAATTGTGTTTGTGTACGTGGAATGTACTTTTTTGGCCATGTCCTTTGTCCTGTCGTTATTAAGCTACGAGCTTACTAATCCATTTGAAATGATGGTTTGATTAATACATTTCAATCTTATTATCCAAACAATAAGCATATACATTATCAATAATTATATCGATGGAATTTAACTAACTGGCAAGAGGTTGAGGAAATCACAGGTAATAAACATACCAATTAAGATATTCATATAAAGGTATTTAAAAATAACTTAAAATCAATAAGAAAACACAAACAGTTTATTGATAACAATAGTATTATGTAGGTTCGTATGTACATACGTACGTACGGTAGAATTGATTCGTAACGAAGGCAGATTGGCGAGGCGTGTCCATACAATATTTGGTTTGCCTCATAAATATGCATGACTCGGAACGTTAGCTGGCGTATCAAACAATTCATAAAAAAATAATATTGGATGTATGTACAGGATTCGTTGGTTTTAAAGCTGTAAATATTATACTGGTAATTTGTAAAGCAATGGATAATTGGTATTGTGTTTTTAACCGTCCGCAACCAAGCCCAAAAGGAATAATTTTATTTGAAACAATGAATTCATTTTTATAAACAGGCCATATTAATACAGTACTTTTACACGTCAACACGTTATATGTAAATAACTAGATGAAGCTAGCATTTCCTATCTGACTACTTCGAGAAGAAATGCCGATCTATTATAGAAATAGTTCAAAGTAAAGAGCGAATAGTAAAACGATCGTCAAGAGAAAATTTTATTTATGGTTTATATTTGCTTCTCTCTAATTTCAGATTACGTACACAGAACCTACTCTTTTTAATAATACTCGTTATAACTCCGAGGCGAGCCCTATCTTCCTTGATAGACAGTTAAACAGTTTATCTGTACATTTAGTACCAAACTCGGGAATATTCCGCGATAAAAAAATATACGTTCTGTGCCAGCTGGCGACACGTGTTATTAGATAGTGTTTAGCCTTATTATATTAGACATACGACCTTGCGGCTTATTGAAATTGACTGACATATACAAACATATTTAATATATTTTCATTATTTACGTACATGTACGTAGTCACTTTTTAATATTAATATAGTAATGTAAATATTGGTAGGTAAATCCTCTATGACACTTGTTATCTCGAAAGATAAAAAAAAAATCCCAAAGTAATATGAAAAGCCCTTCCGTCAAAAGTTAAGAAAAAAGTTCGAATGTCGTATGGCTTTATATTAGATACCAAATACGGTAAACGTTGGTACTTTGCTATGTGTTGAGGCAATAATCTATTTTTTTAAAGGTAAGAGATTCTTTTAGATTCTTCCTTTTTGACAGAAAAAGTTAAATAATTAAAGAGCCCTATATAATTGAAAAGTTCAACAATTTAACAGAGACTTCTCAAAAGTGAAAGATTTTTTCTAATTGTTCTAGCAGTTTCTGAGCCAATTTAATCCAAACAATCATATCTTTTCTCTTTATAATGTTAGTAGAGATATATAATGATGGCTTTCAAGAAGTAAAATATTTGTATTTGTATTTCAGAGCTGCATGCTGCCGCCAAGGAGACGGTGACGCTGGCCGAGCAGCGGTTTGTGAGCAAGCAAGATGAGTGGCAGTTCGACAGCAACTGGCAGGAGGTCCTCAACCATGCCATTATCAAGGTGAGAACATATGAAAGGAACCTCTTATATTTCAAGCTGAAATATCTCAGTATCTGTTTGCCAATTAAAAATGTCTGTTCAGACTCTGAAAAAAAAAACATGTCCCATAGGCGCCCGTTGCACGTGAATTGTTATTTAGACATAAATCAAAATACAACGAAGAACCTGCTTAAGATGAATCTTTATTACATTCTAATGTTCTTAGGTCATGGACGCTGAGAAGCGGAAAGCGGAGAGCGGGCGAGAACACCAGAGGAAGGCGGCCGCATACATCGCAGCTGAGAAAAAGGTAAGCACTGATACACACTATAGAGAGCATACCTAGTTCAATAGAATAACTAATAACTTGAATATAATTGATTTTGAAGTCAAAGTACTCAACTAACATATGTTTATATTCTATTCATGTACAACATTCAAATTCCTAACCAAATACCTACCACGAAGCATTCAAAACGATATATCATCGTAAATATTAATGAGGCACACACCACGCTTCCAGTCAACCAAACGTAACTCTTATACCACATGATAATAACAATCAATTTCCAGGTGACACAATTAGAAGAGAACCTAAAACGGAACATCATAAAGTCACGAGTTTACTTCGAAGAGAAGAAACTGTGCGACGAACAATTACAAACACAGAATGAGAAAATTGAGAAGTTACAACGACTCATAGCTGACGCCAAGTTCAGATACTCGAAGTCTCTTAAAGCACTTGAAAAAATATCGGAAGAGATTCATAGAAGACGGGGAGAGTATCCACCGGATAAGGACTCGATACCCGTCGGTCCTCGAGAGCCAGGTGTCGGCGCAGAAAGAGACGCCATCCATGACGAAGACGCAGCGAAAGCTGAACATGAGAAAGACGAAGATTCTAGTCTCCAAGAACTGAGAATGCGCGTCAGAGAACTCGCTTCCAAACCTATAGAGAAAGATATTGAAACCGACGAAGCGTGGGCTCTGGAACTTAACGAGACTATCAACAAACTCGACCAATTGCTAATGATGAAGGAAAATAATCAACAGAAGAGGTCTAAGTTCACCGCTAGCTCTCCTAGGAATTCTAGCGCGCCCTCCACCAGTACTAACACTGGTAAATACATCGATCCACCGAGTGATAGCTGGAAGACTGAGACTAACTTAACTAGGACCAAATCTATTAGCAAGGATGTGGTCTATGAGCACAGTAACCCACCGATTAGTAAGACGGAGAAGTCTAAAAGTATGATGTCTTTAGACGTCCTCGCCTTAGCTAGAGACACGAACATAATGGATAGGGAATCATATCTTAAAGCTGTCATCGAAGACAAGTCCCCTACAGGGACGTATACTGAGAGTAATTCGGATCGAAATGACACCCCTGACGAGATCCTGATGGTGGAATGTGACTCCAGTGACTCCAATCAAAACCCTGTCATCAGGATGACCAGCTCCACTGTCTCTGACAGCGACAACAGCTAAATATTTATGACAAACGATGAATGAAACATTACATTTCTTTGATTGGTTGTGGAATCTAATATTTACTAATTTTAAAATGATTTAAAAATGGAATAGAATAGACGGTACCGTCTTTTTGTAAAAAAAAGAAATGGTCAACGGAAATTTTGTTTGTGAAAAAATGCTTTAATTTTCTTTTTGTTAATTATAATTGTGTTTAATAATTATTTGATTTAACTATGTCTGTATGTGCTAACAATGCAATCTTTAGTAGTTCGTCAATTTCTTAATGTTAGATGTTTTTCTAATAAATATGGAAGTCTCAATAATAAATAAATGCTTGAATAATTTTGGTACTCTTTAGTTTATGTAGATGTGCTAGTATTTTTGTCATTTATTAAATTTGGATTCAAGGAATAATTAAACTTGCCATTTGATCATTAAAATAAATCTGCAATGTCATTTTTGACAGAAGTAACTGCAATGGTGTCAGTGTTATCATTTCTTTTGAAACTTACAGTAACAATAGCATATACACTGTATGAAACTTGATAAAAATTCTGCTTTTAAAACACGTTTCTTAGATTAAAATATCTTGAAGTAAGCCAGGACGGTCGATTTCGTAAAATACTTCTTAATACATCTAAATAAGAGCTGTTTTACATCTAGCTAGTAAAAAAAACATTTACTTTACGAAATCGACAGTTCTAAGGACACACACACCAAATTGGACCTTGGCTACGATTTTAAAATAGAATTTGACATTTTAATAAGACATTTTGAACTCTCTATCCTTTACCGAAGGATTTATTTTTCTACAGATTACAGAAAGAAAAGAAATATTGAAAAAATCGCTGATTCAGCGGGTATTGGTTTGTAGTTAGCAACATTATTAGTGAATTTACTATCTGTCTTATTTCAAAAGCGATAAAAAATATAATCGTTGAATATTTTTTTGGAAAATTGAAATGTCTTATTTTATTTAAAATGGTTTAAACTACATGCATTTTCATATAATTATGAGCCATACCAGTCCACCGACAATAGCTCACAAATTATAATTTATTTAATTATAATTTTATTAGAGTAGTATCTAAAATTACTGCAAAAAGGAGTAAATTAAAGACCAAAATAATATTTGCGAAAAATGACGTCGATAAAAGTAAAAACGGGAGAGTATTAGGCATTTGCTATCTCACTTGCACGCGTTTAATCTAATAGTGATGACGTCACATTATGTTGTGCATCTCTCTCACTCTCTGTTGACACTTAATTCTTTCACAAGATTCATAGTCTGTGTTGGTTATTTTGGAATGAATGGCGAACATTCTTTTTGGTTTAAAACTTTAGTGTAGGAATGTAGTCAGGTATATTTTAGGGATTATTTTTTCCATTTAAGTTAGAGTAGTGTTTGATTTTAAACCTTCAAACGATTTGAAGGTTTACATCTTGTAATGGTCCCGTAACTTTTTACTAATCACAGACAACAGTATCTGAAATGAATTGGGTTGTTGTTAACCAATACTCTCAATAGAAAATACAGATTTTTTTTAATTTTTAAAACAATCTTGTGGATTTATTCGCAAGCTCTGCGTATGCGCAGATTGGAGCAACAATTATTCAATGAAAGCTATCAAAATAACTAGAAATATTGATCTTTCTCTTTCACTTGTTAATGGGAGCTGGATATCGCTTAGCGACTAAATAATATGTACTTAAATATTTGAACGTGATTACGCAAACGTGAATTTAAAGGCGTTCCCGCCAATTTTGTATGTATCGAAAATTTTCTAAACAATGTTTTTGATAAGCTTGGTGAGGGTTGAATAGATAGGGTAAGGTAATTTATGATGGAGTCTTGAATTAGCGAAAATAATCAGTTTGAGCAAAATATACCATACTTTGTTATTTTTTTGTATAAGGGTTGATTTTTCAATAGTTAGTTGAAAGTTACCTGGGGAATAATTATGATGCTGTCGCATCAGAATGTTTGTATAAGACAGTGACAGCAACAATTTTATTCTTCAGATAACATTCATCTGACTATTGAAATTCAGCCTTAAATTGAAAGAAATGAAGAATATTTATTTCAACCAAGTATCTAGTAGTCTAAAAGAACTACTATTGGACACGTTCAATTCCTGAATTAATTTGACTAGACTTCAACAAGATAAAATCCATTATTTTATTGCCATTAATAATACTAACATTATAAGCGATAATAAATTGCTCAAATACTGAATCTTCAAGCAACGTAAACATTTTATAGTGCCTTCGTTTTGAATTGAGATTTTTTCATTAAAGCAACCATTACTGAAGACTGGAATGAGGTTGGTACTTAGATGGTTGTAAAGCTATTAAAAATATATTAAGGCTGGGTCTAGATACTGCATCAGGATAAAGCCGAAAGAAAAAGAGTATTAAAAATTTTTAGAAATGATAAAATCAGTTGGCAAATCGATTGTCACACTGAAATATTTTCAACTAAATTAGAAATTGTATAAAGTTTTAAATCTACATTGATATTTCACAATTTTGTTTCCAAATTTGGTCGATATCAGTGTTTAGTTTTCCAGCCCTGGATAAGGTGCTCTGGTGGTATATCTGAACCCAGCTTTATGTATATGATTTTTAAATTATATATGACGCAGCCAACTAGCCTAATCAGCTGTTCAAACAACGGCATAGCCTGTTTGATAAATGGTATCGCAGTACAATTCTGGTAGCTGTTTATATCGATTTGATTTCTCTGCTGGTCGCAGTTCTAACCAAACATATATTCAAGTACCAGGAATCTACATACATCTACATACATGATATAAAAGGCTTTTTATCAATTGGATTTTCATTAGGGTTGAATGAATGGCTAATTAAACTAGTTTGCTGCGAAATAATTATATATATTCGAGTCGATGAGGGTTCCATACATACTCATAAGTTTAAGAATAAATAAAAATATCTTTAAATTCTTGCGGTTATTTTATATTAAGGTGATGCATTTATGAACTAGGAACATCGAGTGAGTTTTTGACAATGGAGTTTTTGAAATTGCCAAGTTAAATTGATTCTTGTCTACATGACCTTTGAAAATAAAATTGTTTTCATAAACCCATTGTCACGTGGTTGTAGGATGTAAAATTGAGTATAAGCTGAATTAGTTTACTTATTTAACAATATTGATAGCACGGTCACAATTATTTTATTAAAATACATGTAAGTTCATGGAAATAAAATTTTTACGAATGTTAAAAATAGTGATTTTATTTTATGGCTATTTGCGATATTTTTAGCTGTGTTTTGAGATACATAAAAATTTACTTTACAATAATTTATTATTGCATTGGAAATCTCAAAGATATATTGCAGAAAAGAATTTGCATGTAGCCAAAAATGAAAGCCGTAACTTGCGACACAATAAATTATAAATTTATCAATAAGTTAAGAGTTTTTTCAATTCATTTTGATTTGTATTCAAAAAAATATGATTTGATTTAAAATAACAATTGAAGTAAAATTACATTATAATCTGTGTTTAGACCTCACAAAAGCACTTCACGTACTAAATGTGTCGCACTATCAAAACTCTTCACATAGCAATGTTATTTGTATGTTCGTAATAAACTTTCAAATCTACGTGTTTTCAATAAAAATGAATGTTGTCAAATTGGACTTTTATTTTATTTTTTTAGCCCCTATATTTAGGTCCCCCAATCGGCAACGTACTCATTACTCGTCTGGTGTTGCGGATGTCATTGGGCGGCGCTGATTGCTTACCATCAGGTAACGCGTAGGTATGAGGGTTTGCCGCTCTAACACTTAAAAAATATTCTCACTGTGCCATTTCCATCTCTTCGAGTTGTTGGCCAGCAAAAGGAAGATCAAATTGATTTGCTACACGATCCAAAGATAGCCTGAGCTTAAAACTGCCTTAGATAAGAATTCGACGGCAATCGGGTAGTTTCCTTGGTCAAAAATAAATTAATTCCATGTTTCAATACGATAAAATATTGAAAAATAACTATACTTTTATTCATCACTAAGTTTTAGATTTTTATAGCTAATTATTAAGAAATGGGTAGGTAAGCTATTTTAACGCAAAAATCTTATGACGTCATAACTCAGGTTTTCATACAAATTTTATAGAAAATTATCGTTTTTGACATTTGGATAAATGTATTGAATTTGGCTAGTTGGAAAATACCGTATTGTCGTAAGAACTGGCGTCCCACCGTGTTGCGTGTTGGCATAGGTGGGACATGATGAAGTTCAAGCTAGATGGAGGACCTCTCTGTGATCACTATTTGCCTCAAACAGGCGACTGAACTTTAACTCAAACCAGTAACTTTCATAATCTGAAGTCCCGACATTGATACGGGGAGAAAACTCGGTCGCTAAATCGGATTTCTTTTCCTTTTCAACCTTATTTTTATTAAGTGAAAATTTCAGATGTAACTGAATTTCGATCAGTATCTAGATTCAAATCTTAACATTATGTTAGTATGGTAGGATATAAAATTAAGGATTTTTAAAAAAAATAAAAACAAAATGTCTAATATTTACTCCATTTATATTCCACATCTGACAATATCAACGGTCCCATATAAACAATAGCTTACACAATCTACATAACATCACGACGATTATTACAGAAAGGAAGGCACTTCTAGAAGTAAGGTTTTTCTAATTAGATCAAATTGCTATAGAATTTATTGGCCGAATAAGATCTATTTACAGAATACATTTGGCTTCTGTGTAAAACTGACGAAAATAAACTACAATTTATACATAAAAGAAATTACAATTAAAATTGCACTATTTCTTCAGCTTTTAATCAGGTTAAAACGTAATATTTCATTATTATGAGATACTCTGACAGTTTTAGATTTAAATAGTTATTTTATTTACATTTATTTGAAATGTTACTAATACAAACATGAGGTATGAAAGTTATTTAAAATGTTAGCTAGAACTACGGGTTTAATAATAATAACATTTGACTTTCAAAATTATCTACAGAATGTAACAAACTATTATAAATTATGTTAAATACTGCAACATTGGTTTAAGTTAAAAGTATGTTTAAAATCTGCGCAAGCGCATTCATCGCCAAGTTTTAAAACCTGCTACACGAACTCTGTTCGTTAAAAGCAATAGAGGTAAAATGTAGATAAAAATAACAAGAGTGACAGCCAAAATTATTTATACACAATAAAACGTAATTTGTACTGTAAACTTGACCTTCCAGTTACTGAAATTATATTCAGTAAAATCGCGATTAATCCAAACACATACATGTAAATACTACTATTCTATGCCGAGGTCATATAAGTTTATGTTATCGATACAAATAATTTTAATAATATATAAAAAAACACGTGATCTAAAAAACTTATCAAAACTAGAATGAAATCCATACGGCATGGAAACGTTAAAAA